CCTCTCTACAACAGCTCCAGGAGAAAAGGGGGAGGTGGAAAATTAAAACAACAGGAGGAAGCAATACATTATTGGTTGGGCGCTTGGTAAGACCCTGCCTGGTCCTGCCTTGGGACAGGATGTAATAATAGTGCTGCATTCAAATCTTGAGTGTGCTTAATGCTTTGGTTCTCCAAGAAGTCACTAAACAGGCACTGAATGGATGTTATTTCAGGAGTCCAATCATGAATTGTTCCCTCTTTCCTTTCACATGCACGGTCAGCTGGGTCTTACAACTGGGTGGTAGGTCTTGCTCTATGATCACTGCAGAATCATGCACATTTTAAACCATGCAGGGCTAGATCATTAACTTCCCTGCATGCACACTTGTTCATCAACAATGTTATCCTTTTACTTTTTCATTTCATTGTGTTATAGGTAGGGACCTACCAAAATTGCCGCAGAAGCAAGCTATACAGCAGCCCCTTTAATCTTGTTCGTTTCATTGTGCACCCCCTCCGCCCCTGATTGGCAGAGGGATCCACTTGCCACTGATTGGCAGGGAGGCAAAAAACATGGTTTTAAATGTGCCATGGTTTTTGCCTTCCGGCCAATCAGCAGCAAGTGGCGAGGCCGCTGGGGCCGATTTGCTAATCTGCAGTGGGAGGCAAAACCTGTGACAAATTTAAAACCACAGTTTTTGCCTCCCAGCCAATCAGCAGCAAATGGTAGGGCCACCAGGGCCCCTCTGCCAATCAGGGGTGGGGTGGAATGAGCAAAATTAAAGGAGACACTGCACAATGCACTTCTGCCATGATTGTGGTAGGTCCTTACTTATAGGCACTGCTGATGTACAATCTGTGAGTTAAGAGCCTGCAGCCAGAGGAGTAGTGTGGGCCAGCCCATAGCCCGGATCAGTCCACAAGCCAGATTCAGTAGGAGGTCAGCACATGGGGTCAGTCTGTGGGTGCGACTCAGCGTGCTGGCCTGTCCCCATGTACCAAATCCAGCTGCAGAGTGACCCTGTGCACTGGCCAGGCCCCATGAGCAAGATTTATCCACTGCCACTGCTTCCCCACCACCAAAATTTTGGAGCTGTAGGGAGCTCCGCAGACTGGATGACCCAGCCTTGCAAGCTGAAGATTGAGCACCACTTTTCAAGGCTAAAGGGCCTGAGAGGCTAAAGGCCCTGAACTTATTCAGCCTCCACAAGAGAAGGCTGAGAGGGGATCTGGTGTCCATTTACAAACTCACCAGGGGGGACCAGCAGGAATTGGGGGAGGCTCTGTTCCCCCGGGCACCACCCGGGGTTACTAGGAATAATGGCGACAAATTGTTAGAGAGCAGGTTCAGGCTGGACATCAGGAGACATTACTTACAGTTAGGGCTGCCAGGCTCTGGAATGGGCTCCCAGGTGAGGTGGTACTTTCTCCTACCTTGGGGGTCTTCAAGAGGAGGCTGGACAGATATGATTCCCAGCACCCGTTCCTACCCGGGGCAGGGGGTTGGACCTAATGATCTGTTTAGGTCCCTTCCGACCCTAAGCACTATGATACTATGATCTAAAGAGGTAAGTTCTTATTAAGCAGAAAAGGGTAGTCTGGGTCACATCCAGATAGCCGTTCTTAGGAAGAGTTGTTTTTTAGTCCATGATCAGTCGATGGTGCCACTAGCAGAGTAAGTTGGAATTCATCAATATAATCAAGACCAGCAGAATCTGGCCCTACAGCCCAGCTGCTAGAGCAGGGTGCTGTTATCCAGAATTTGTAGATTTGGTTCACAAATTACCCACAGATGTATTATGTGACCTTTCACAAAGAATCTTCCCTCCTTTGCTTCAGTTTTCCAGGGGGTAAAATGGGGTTAAAAGCTACATTAAAATAGTGTTATGAGGCTTGGTCATGAATACCATTTTTGCAGAGGGTCACACAAAAGACCCTACAGTGGCACACTGTGGCACCGTCAAACAGGTTTGCAGAGCTGTCTGGGAAATTCTTTTATTTTCTTTGAAAATTTATGATGAAAATATTTTAATTGATACTGTTTGCCATTTGGGGGTTGTTTTCTTTAAAAAACAATTCCCAAAGGGCAAAGGTTTCTCAGTTTTTCAATTAAAATTTTGACACAAAACAGCTTTTTCATAAAAAATGTCCAATTTTTTAAACTCTTTTCACCCAGCACAACATTAGGAGGAACAAATAATGCCCACCTCCATTCTCAGTGAACTATTATCATGTTTCATTAAAACCCAATAGTTCTACAAAAACTTCCATCCACAGACCAAAGCATTTCATAAACCCCAGTGCAGAAAGTCTTAGGATCCCTGCAAGAGAAGTACCACCTACAATGAGCACTTAAAGAAACTGAAGATGAAACAAGATACTGAAGATGAGGTACTCCAGTTCTGAAAATCAAGCCACTGATTGAATGCTCAAGCACTCAAATTGTAATTCTTTGATCCGGCTGACTAGCCCAAAGGTAATTGAATCTATGCCAATAAAGAATAATGCTCATTTACTCATGACTGGTTTATATCAGCTATATACTGAGATGGAAGAAATGGAAGGCTGCTCCTCTTTGCTCCAGCTTTGCCTAGCAGACGACAATGGCCAGAGTGGGGAATTACCAGCCTGGCCTCCTGGCTCAGCTTTGGCCTGCAGAAAGTTGAACTAAAGGAAGTCTGCCTATTAACACTTGGCAGAGTGTAGCAGTAGAGCAGCCACAAGAGTGATTTCAAAATCAAGAGGCAGTTGTGAAATGTGACTGCTACAGGATTTGCACTTCATTTACACTAATGGGACCATTAACTTGACCTAACTACACCAATCCATGTGCAAAGAAATCTCCCCAATGTCCCAGTTTATTCCACAGCTGCTCTGTAGCCACAGATTTGCTTTGCTACTTATAAAACCAGCCTATAAACTAGTGAATATATGGCTAAGCTTCTTGTCCATCGCTGTATGTAAATCCTCATTGCCTTTTTGTCAATCAAGCTGTCACCATTACCCCTCTGGATATCTCAGCTCATTTATTTCAGCTGTCATCAGTTTCAGTAACATATTTCCAGTTCCCTGTTCTTGGTTCAGGGGATCTATTACAGAGCCAGCCCTTGTGATGTCAGAGTTGTTAATCTTGCTGATGCCTTCAAAGGGACTAATGGGCTGGTTTGATGTGCATGCACTGCTGTGTGCACTGTTTTGTCACCTCATTTATTTCAGCACTCTCTCCAAGATGTTTGCATCCCTTCAGACTCCAGCCTTGCTCTGCTGGGCTGTTGCTTTAGCAGATTTTGTTTTCTTGTGCTTATACCACAACTGCAGAGTTGCAACTGGCTAAAATGCCCTAGTCTTTTCTCTGTGTTGGAAGTAGCATTTCCCCTATTAATGTTATCACAAATTTTCCAACCCTAAACACCAAGAGTGAGATTCCAGACTTCTTGGGGTAGGACACATCTACACAGCAAATTAAAGGTGGGATTGAAGCATAATCTACTAAGCATGAATAAGAACAGCAGTGAAGACGTAGCAGAACAGGCTTTCACAGCATCTGATGAAGCGAGCCTCAGATACTATGATACATGATATGATATGATATATGATTTATATATACAACTCTGTATGTGTATGTGTACACACACACACGTGCGTGCATGCACACACACATGCACACATATATAAAACAAAACACCTAAATCCATACAGAGACACCTAAATCCCTAAGGCACCTTTGAACATTCCAGTCCCGGTGTCACTGATGGAAGAGATAGTTCCTTTACTTCCTATAACAGCTTTTATACTGCCTAAAAGAATAACATGAGCACTTATCTCTATGGATAAGGGATAATACAAAAAGAGTAACAAATACTATATTATACTCAGTTAAATAAAAAACATATGAAAATAAACTCCTGATCCACAATCTATTTGTGTGTGTTGCAAACTACTCACAGACATGCACACACAGAGCACATTTGTGTGTGATATACACATGTCCTCAAAAGTGATCTTGGATCTTGGGGAAGCCCAAGGACTTGGGCACCCCATTGACAGGTGCTGTGTGAAGCTGTAAGATAGACACCTGGCTGCAAGAATCTGCTACTTGGGTTGGGAGAAGGGAGGCCTCTGCCCCTGCACACACCTTCCAGGCAAGAGCTGGTCAAATATTCTGAAAACTTCTTGCAGGCAAGGTTCTTTGGGTAGATATCACATCTTTGGGTAGATATGATATTTTATTAGACCAACTGAGTAGTTGGAAAGACATGCTTAGCAAGCTTTTGGGTGCAGTCACCCAAAATATTTTGGTCTAATAAATAATTGTACTGGTTTAATAAAAGATATCACATCTACCCAAAAAACCTTCCCTGCCTATGTCCTTAGACCAACACGGCTACCTCCAAAAACTCTGAAAACTTCTTAGTATTCTTGGGAAGAACTTTCGGTCTATTTTTAGACAAGGATTGGAATATGGTACATAGAGAAATAGTGGAATCTCCATTCCTGGATATTTTCAAGAGTAAGTTGGACAGACACTTGGCCTGGATGGCCCTTGAGCAGGAGACTGGACTAGATGACCTTATGAGATCCCTTCCAGCCCTCTTTTCCTATGACTATTTGCAAAATAATTGCTTGTGATTTGTTCTAGCTTTACTCAATGGGCAGCCTAAATCAAGAGCTATAACAGTGCAGTGTCTTTCACTAGTCCCAAGAAATTCTAGCCCTCAACAACAAAATAATGCACACAGCCTTCTCACTATTTGGTCCACAGGCACAGTGAGAAAATTAACCTTTTTCTCACTGGACCAAGGGAAGGGATAACAAAAACGCATTCATAGAGCATATACAATAGTGTGTCTGCCTGCCTTCAACTCCCCGAAAAGAGGCAGTCCTGGTTGGTACTCGGGGCAGCTTGACTCTTAATAGACATACTGCATATACAATACGACTGCACGTGCAATATGACTATATGCCACTAGGCCAGTCTACATGGTACCAAGCATACAGACTGAGTCATTTCATTGTTACCTGTCATGACGACTTCATCTCCGTCCTGCAGAAACTTACGAGACTGCCCATTGCCAAGGTCAATTTCTTTTGTTCCGTTCCACGACAGCTCCAACATGGAGCCAAAGCTCTCTGGATCCTTTAAAACAGAAGTTAATAACCAGACCTGTCAAGCTAGAGAGCATATGTATAGTACTGTTACGCCCTGTTATGGGGAACAGGCATGCCGATATGTTTTCCAATTCTATATGATAGAACCACGCCAGGAATGGCCATTGATGCAGTTCACTGAGGAGCTAGCTTTCATGCATCTTTTTATATGTTTTTAACTTGCTGGAGGCCACAGTGGCTTAGAGTAGGGGCATCAAATTCATTTGGTCTCAGGGGCCAGATCCAGACCCATCTCTGGTGGCAGGGTGAGCTGTAGTGATGTTAACCCCAACAGCTGCCTGAGTTACTGTGTAGGCCCTGGCAGCCACAGAAATTTAAATCGCTATTGGGCGCTCCAGTGCCACTGAAACAAGCACCCAGCGGGGATCTCTACCCAGGATTTTGACAGCAGAGCGAGCAACAGCACAGCTGTAACGAGTCCCCAACCAAAATATCTCATACTCAGGATTTCAACTGCAGGGCAAGCAATCCTGATGTTAATGGACACTGCTGTGTTGGCTGCCACTGCTGCTTACATCCCAACTCCTTCAGGAGCCCCAGGGGCCAGATGACAGCTCTGTGAGCTGGATGCATGACATCCCTGGTTTAGAGCACCCTTCTGTCAATGCCTCTAGTTTTAGCAGTAGGCTTTTAAAAAACTGGGCCCCACGTAAGGAAGAATGAAGAGAGATCTGGGTCCCTCTTTCTGTATCTTTAGTATTTTAACATTAGTGCATGTCAGATTGCATTCATATTTCACTATGCAGGTGAATGCTCTGAGTTTCTAAATGCTTCGAAGATTTTAATGTTAATCTGTAGACTGATTCAGTGGAGAGAAGGACTATTTGTTTAAAAGCACCAGCAGGATGGTATATAATGGGTTTTGTTCCATTGGCTCATTAATGGAGCTAACCTGATGACAATTCACTTGTGCCAGATATTCAAGTCAATGGATTGTCTCTTATTGACAAATGGATAAGAGGCAGACTCCTAAATTAGCCTTATTCCATTTCAGTCGAAGGAAAGACCACCTCACAGCTCTATCCAGCAACTGAAGAATGTCCAGTCATTGGCTAAAAAGGAGAGCAGTCAGTGAATCCCCAGCAAATATTTTGGAGAAAAATGTTTTTTGCACTTTTCTAAGTCCTGTGTAACACCAGTGTACTTTAAATGGAAATAATGAATTATAAACTGGCCTCCTGCAGAGTTAAGAGACCTTGGAAGTGTTTATACGTCCAATAACAATAATATTTAGTTCTTATATAGCAGTAGCTGTGTGCGAGGGATGAAGTGGTGACTTCAGGGAATCCTTGGTAATATGGACCATCAACATTGGAGGGGACTGGACTCTACAGAATAAGAGATCCATTCCAATCTTATGCCTCAGATTTCATCTGTAGACCCCAGTTTGATTTGATTTGTTTTACAATGAGGGTAGTAACTGGGTTGGTACAGTCAGAAAGACTGTGTGGATACTTGGGATATAACAACCACAACAGTGTTCCTATTGGGATTGTGTTTTATGAATTGAGACAGGTTTAAAGAAGTAAAATTGGTTGAAACAGATTGAGGAAGAATTGCAAAGGCATCCACAGTAGAACAAACAGAAAGTGAATGGAGGTCCCTCACCATGCCTGACCAGTTTCTGGTTCCTGACTGATTAGTTATTAATGATGATCACTACTTAAATGCTTACAGGACCACTGATTGTCCCAGATGCCAGGAGGTCTCCAGGTTTAAGGTTGCATCCATTGCGGCTGTGATGAGCCAGCTGCTGTTTCATGGTCCAGTACATGTGCTGGAAAAGAGGATAATGAAGGCTCAAGTTGTGAAGGACAAATGTGTTTCAGACATGATTATCCTATACAGAATTCATTCCAATCTCTCTGGATCATACTGCTACTGATTAGCCCCCAAGAAAAACATCCTTATCTAATCAAGAGCTTCCAGCCACCTCAGTGTAATGTTTGCAATTACTTAAAATTGATCTTGGGGCTCATTCATTGGTTTCCAAATATGTAGCCTGCATGCATATAATTTACTCCTGAAAAGCCAAGGAACAGCAATTATAACTCTGCATTCATGACATTTGACATGTGTTACTGTGTCCCTGAGGCTGCCTTTACTAATATTGGGGGTTCACTTCTTCCCCTGCTCTCTTCCCTCCTATGCCCTATGCACATTGGTGAGACTTAGAAATATTAGGCTTAATCCTTAAGAAAGGTTAAAGCACTGCCTACAAAGAATATCTCAACAGTTTTTGTTTTCTGAACAACTGTTTAAATATATTGGCCTACGCTCCATTAATTAAAACCAGAATGGACCTAAAATGCATTGAGAATCCCTGCAGCTAGAGTGTAAGCATTTCATTTTATGGTATCATCCCTTGGCCTCTAGAAGAATATCTGTTATTCTGCTATCAGATGGGGAACGAGATGCACAATGCAATCACCTCAGTGTCAAAGCAGCAATTCTGGATGTAGACTCCTAAACGCTGCAAATGGGGTGTTTTCATCCCAGGGGGTGTCGTACTCCCTGCTTGGTCTCTCCCTCTCACCAACTCCAGCAGATCTGGTATGGTACACAGAGCACTTCCTTGTGTGCTAAACCCTAGTTGCAAGAAGAGTTGCCCTCTGTTCAGATCAGAAGCACCCAGGTGTTTCTGAGGGTATGTCTGAGCAGTACAAAGCAGTGCCAGGCTGAGAGACACACCTGCTCTTCCTCCCAACCTGTGTTCATGCAGTGCCACGTGTATGCCAATGAGGAAAGAAATCATCAGCTTTCCCTAACCCCAGCAGGCCAAATCTGCAGCTAGTTAAACTCAAGCATATTGCCTCTGAAGCCAGGGCCCGAGTTGCCAACATTGGTCAAACAGATGCAACTAAACCAAAACTTTACCTTAAAGTTTGATTTGCATATAGTACTTGGCTTGCTCATTCCTTCTCCTATGGGGGGAAAAAAGCAATCAATGAAAGAAGAGACTTCTTTGCACCAGGTGAAGAAGTTGGCTTGATTTTCATTTTATGGATAGACAGAGCTCCCTTTATACATTCAGCCTCAATGGAAAGCAAACACTGAGGCTGTATCTATGCCTGAGGCTGTATGTACTTCATCCTGTGATGTTGGCCATGGTTTCCTGGGCTGTACTGCTCGCCTACCTTACAGAGGTGCTGTGAAGCTGTAGAAAGGGAAGGACCAGACCTCTTCCATCTAAACATAGAGGGATTATGCACCCCTTCTTTGGGGCACTCCACAATTTCTCAAAGCTTCCTTAATTCTGGAAAAATTATGGGTCTTTAAAAAAAATTAAACTAACCTGGTCATTTCACCTTTACCAAAGTTGGGGAAAGGGTGGGGAAGGGGTTGAAATGCTACAGAATGGAAAATATGAACACTCACACACATTTACTCTTCTCATTGCCCTGACTGGCCAAAAATAAAACAAACCTTCAGAATTTGAATATTTTCTAAAAAAAAGTCACAAAATCCATTACATTTCACACTGCAGGAAACAGGGAGAACTTCAACATTTCCTGATACATTTTACTGCGTAGCAAACTCTGATTTCTATTACTGTTTCCCTTGTCCTCCCTCCCACCATTTTTTTCTATTATTAACTATCCCCTATATTCAGTGGGTTGCAAAGTCTTTCGTGCTGGGGCTATTTTGGTGCAGTTTGCACAACACCCTGAGCCTGATGGCCTTCTAGATGCTAACAACACAAAAATAATCCGTGCTCATCCTTCAGGTTGTAAACTGATCACCTGAAGGCATTAGGGTGGGACTGGTTCCCTGCTCAGAACAGCACTGTGCTGCTGATGGAGGACATAAGAAATGTTTTGTCTTCCTTTGACATGATATTAGGCAGTAAGGAATGCAGGATCCTGGAGCTGACAGGACAATTGTCTGAAATATGTGGTGGATTCAATATCCCTTACCTTGGCAAAGCTCCCTCAGTCATCTAGCATTACTGTACCTTTAATGGCAACAAAGAGATTTATGTCAAATGTATAGGGCTCTTCATCACAGAGGTAAGGTAGTGGCTTGGGATCCTGGAAGAATACAATGTACATTACTGTCTAAAGGCCAAATGGAAAGAAAATGCCAGCATATTCCCTGGGATATTTGGAAACAAATCTAATCACACAGCTCTGCTCCCCTTCCTCAAGGCACATTTATTTTCCCATTGGCCTTGTCATGGTCAGTAATATCTAAGTAACTGCTTCACATGCACATTTAAGTCATTTACATAGTATTTATTTAAATACACTGCCTTGCATCTTTGGCCTCAAAACCCTATACTTAAAATAGCTATTAATCCTAAAACTCACAGTTTTCCTGCGTCTTTGCCCTGACATACTGTATTCACCCAAAACTTGCAAAGGACTTGCATTTCAGACCCAAGCTGTTTAGTTCACACCCACTGAAAACAGTGGCTTTGAAGATCTCATCACTGTTTTACTATCTTATTGCATTTTAAATAAATAGCTACATAATCGAGACATCTGGCCAAGTCTTAATCTTAATCAGAACATTTTGGCTTCAGGCCATCATCTCGACCCTTTACTGCATATACATACAGTGTCACCATACTCTAAAGAGAAGATAGCACACACTGAGGGCCCCTCTAGATGTTTAGGTACAGGCATGATAGGCAATATGTGATCCACAAAATCATGCCTCCTGCCATGCCACACGTGTATGGCAGGAGGAGTAATTATGGGATGTAACATTATACCCTGTCCCACCTTTAGCTGAACGTTCCCCAAACTGCTGCAGCTGCAAATCCTGCAGCTGACAGGACTCTCAGCCACAGCAACACATGGGATGCTGCTGCTGCTGGGAGTCCTGCCAACTGTGGGACTCCCAGCCATGAAGCACATAGTGCACCCCTTGGCTGGGAGCCCTGTCAGCTGGCATGCTCCCAGTCAGAGGCATACCTTGCTACACATGCAAATTAAAGCTGGATAGAAACTAGTGATAAAGTTATTACACATTTTTCAGTTCTCACTTTATCGTGGAATGGACCTTTCATGGTGTGATAGTTACTTTGGACATGTAGCCGATGTAAATCAGTTGCACAATTAACTACTTAATTGCATAACACATGTAATGTGTAGAGGGGGCCTGAGAAATGCTTTTCTTGCTTTAATCAAGTCTACAGATGGTTTGCAAAGCAATGCAGCTATATATGCAGCAGGTCTGAAATCTTGGTCCCACTGAAACCACTGGGCACTTTACCATTGAATGCAAAGGGGCCAAGATTTTTTCCCAGTGCCCACTTCCTGGAGGCAGGATAAAACTTTTAAGTCAGCAGAGCGACACTTGACAATCCAGTACAACCAAGCGTTTCTACTGTCAGGGCCTAGTGATTTCTATCCTGTTTCCTACCACTCTTCCTCCAAATTGTTTCCATCAACAATGTCTGTTTGTTACTAACCTGGATAGGATTTGGCAACACAAATGGCATGAGAGCTTCCATAGTAACGACCCAGGGAGATATAGTTGTGCCAAAGCTCTTGCTTAAAAATGGACCCAATGGAACATATTCCCACTTCTGAAAGTCACGAGCTACAGGAAAGGAAAAGCAAAGCAACAGAATTAAATATTTCTTGTGTCCTTAACACACGTGAGAGTAAACCAGAAGGACACCTCTGCACACTAAAGAGCACCATCCACAGAGCAAGCGCAGTGCAGAAGTGACTTACCACACATACCCAGCCAATAGGCCTGTATGAAGTGGCTAGTATTTGCTTCAGATTTGGATTCGGCCAATTCAGGGAACAGTGATTCGAGCCAATGAGTTCGGGGTTTTTTTGAGGTGTGTTTTTTTCTTAAAGGGCCAGAGCTGGGGCAGGCAGGGCAGCCATGGTGGGGGCTGGGAGAGCGGGTAGGGATGGGGGGGCTTGTGGCAGAGCCCCCCACACAGCATGGGGCAGTGGGGGACATCAGGGATCACCCCCTTGCCTGGCAGCAGTCAGCGAGTGGGGGCTTTTTTTTAAAGGGTCGGAA